CCACGAGGGGAGGCGGAGGACGAGGATCCCTGGCGACTGAACCGACGTATATGGTAGCCCGAGGCCGACTCCGACTCCCGCGGTTTACTCATGGCCGGGCGGTCGGCGGGGACTTTGCTCTCTGGGCGTGCCCAGGTTTGGCTCGTCCTTCATGGTGACGATGACCCGGCCATCGGCGCTGGTTGGCTCCACAGACGGGGCAGACGCCTCGCCCAGGAACCGATTGTCACCATTAGAATTGCGTTCACTCATCGAGGCATTTTTGTCTTTTAAAATTGACTTAGGTTTTGAAGATGGAAGGGACGATTCTCGATCCCGGTTTGACGATAAAGAGTTTGTGCTTCCTGCCTGGCGCCCCAGCTCGCTCGCCAGGCCAGTGGCGCCGTCAAAGCTTTTCTCTCGTTTGGTGGAAGCGTGGATCGGGGGTTTTCCAAGGGCCACCACTTTGCTCCGACGTTTTTCATCAACGGAATCACGGTTTTTGAACACAAACTTGGAGGGGCTTCCAGAGGAGCTATTCCTGAGAGGAGACCCGATGCGATTGTCGATGTCTTTGGCAAGTTTTTCCGGCATTTTGCGTGGACTAGAATAAGACTTATCCTGTGAGTGTGTGTGGTGGTGTGAGTGTGGGTGTCTGTGCTCCGAGTGGCGGCCGGGAGTCTCCAGCCCATCGTCAGGGGCTTCCTCCCCACGCCCACCAGAGGCCGCTGACTGGATGAGTTTGATCAACTCCGTGCTGTCCTCTTCAAACACCAGCGAGGCTCGCATGGTCTCGTGGCCGTCGCGGTCCTCCATGAGAACCAGGGAGTTCCTGGCCATACTGTCCAGCTGATGGTCGTCTTCATCGGCCAGCGTGTTCATCGTGGCTTGTCGCCGCCCTCGGGCTGACTTCCTGCCTTTGTCGCCCCCACCGTCCACATCGCTAGCGTCACTTCCCTCGTCGCTCGAGCCAAAGGCGCCCCACTGACTGGCCATGGTGAAGGGCGCGGCCCGAGTGGCGTTCTCCTCGCCTGCCTCATCGCACTGAGTGTGCGTCTTGTCGTCTGTCTGCATCAGGGCAAAGGTGATGGCCGCACGACTGGCCAGATCGGGGCCGCTCTCCATCCGCATGTTCTCATTCTCGTTGCTGGGCTCGCCAGCTTCCATGGCGCCCGGCGGTGGCCCCGTGACCCCCCCGACCTTGTCACTGGCGGTGAGCTCCAGGCCGCTTGTCTCTGCCACCTCGTGGAGCCTCAGCACACGGCCCCGGCCCCCCGCCACCGACCCCCCCGCCCCCTGGTAGGCCGAGGACGGAAGCCCGTGGCCCACTGAAGGGCCAGGCGGAGGAAGACGATCGCCCGGGGAGGGAACTACTTCCTTGTCTCCCACCTTGGACACAGCCTGGGTGCTTGCGGCGTCCACACTAGCTCCCCCTGGTGGGCCGCCCCGCGTGCTGCCCGTGCTGTGAGGCTTGGGGGCCGTGGAGGTTCCGCTGCGTGTCCCGTTCTCCTTGGGCGTGGCCACCTCTGGGTGCGGACCCTTCTTGTGGGCGTGCTCGCTGCGCTCCTGAGGCTTGCCTTTCTCCGTGTCCTTGCTCTTCTCCTTGGCCTTGGTGTCTTGCTCGTACTTGGCGGGCGGGGTGTCGGCGTCAGGTCGCGACAAAACCACCACGCCCTCCTCCACGTAGCGGTTGTCCACCTCGTTGAGAGGAATGAGCTCGGGTCGTTTGAGCGGCTCCTCCCCGTCCTGGTAGCTGAGGTTCTCGTCCAGCACCTCTGTGGCCCCGTGGCCCGGCGTGATGGGGCCCACGTTATGCACGCTGAAGGGACAAGCAACAACAACCAATCAGATATCTTGCTACTTTCCTTTGTACACATTCATAGCTTATTCATTTCTGCACCAAACAGCCCAAAAATTATATAATTCTATCAAGGAATAAATGGTTTGTGGACTTTTTACTATTGTAATCACTTGACTTACATATACACGTACAAATATATAACATACTTCAATCTGCTATGAAATACATTTGTCATGTCCTGTTGTTTTATTCTATCTGCCTTTTTCAAGCTGAACAATCATGTAAGGAGTCAAAATCGGATACTGATTTTGAAAAGAACATGTAAACTATGACTTAGAAAATAAGCAGCTGAAACTCCAGGCCAAAACAAGCGGCCACACGAGCCCAGCATCCCCACAGACACAAGTACAGAGGTCTCTGTAAGCCCTCCCTCCCTGCCACAGACACAAGTACAGAGGTCGCTGTAAGCCCTCCCTCCCTCCCTGCCACAGACTACCCCCCCCCCAACCCATCCTGCCACTCGTGACCTCAGTGTTTTCTTGGCATATTTCCATTTGCTTGTTTTATAATTGAAAATGTGACTTCTTCTTGAACTCACTCTTTGTTCTCAGCTGTTTTCACTGCTTTCAAAAAATGGAGACACGACAAGAAAGCACTGAGGCCGCGCATTCCCAAGTCCCGCCACCAAAATCGAAACCCTCCCCCCTCCTCCTCCCTTTCCGCCCACACATCCTCTGCTACCCCCCCCATCCGTCAACCCCCTTTCCACATTCCAACATACACATCCCAAAACCCACTCAACCACCTCCCCTCCCTTTCCCCTGCTCCTCCCTACCCCTCCCAATTCACCACTCCTCACCTTCACAACCCCTCCCATCCTCACTTTCCTCCCACTTACAAAAACCTTTTCTCAGGCCGAGTGGACGGCAACTACCCTGTGAGTGACCGCTGTGACGCCTACGTAGTGTGCAATAACCAGGTTGGGCGGCCGGCGGTGTGCCCATCAGGACAGGAGTACAACCACCACACACAGACCTGTCAGACTGGCATGTCCCCTACGTGTGTGCGGCAGATCACCATCATCAACAGGGCTGACCTCACACCTGTCTCCTCGTGAGTTATTTGCGTGCTCTCTCTCTCTCTCTCTCTCTCTCTCTCTCTCTCTCTCTCTCTCTGTG